ACTGCTAGTAGTTGGATACATCACCTAGAAACCCTTTTGCTTGCGAAATTTTTGGGCGTGATTGGAAGAGTGTCACGATATTAAGATCCGACGTCACCATTGAGATTACCAAACAGCCCAGGGTGACAGGGTAAGGGAGAGTGGAGAAGAGGCGAGGGTCGTATTCATGGCAGAGGTGGAGAAAGTGGGAGGGCGGAGGCATGTTGGCTGGAACTTCCCCAACACGCGGCTCACTCTATTCTGCATTTGACTCAAATTCTTACTGTTGGAGATTGAACTCACCATTAACGTAGTCCATGATCTTGCTTTGTACTCGCAGGTTTGTCTTTGTCGAGAACAACGAAAGCAACTGGCCTTAAAAAAGTTTTTTTTAGAATTTCTGACAAGGTGCTCGTGTCACTGGATGGAAAGATAGAAAAAAATGAAAGTTCAGTCAACAGAAAGCAGCGATATAAGTACAAAATAACGGCAGTGTTCTCGGTCGTTCCGTCTCGCGTACATAAAGGTCCTAGATACCTCGTGGAAGCGAGCAGCTCGAACGCGGAACCTCCAGGACTTCATGTTGCTGTGCGGCCCCACCCAACGCAGGTGGCCTGATTATGGGCAAGCCCCGGGCTCAAAATAGTGCATATGAACGCTTCGTTGTGATATTTGAGCCCATCGTGTCTGTGCGGAATGAACTAAAAGTGGGAAGGAACCAAGCGAAACCATTAAGGGCCTAAACTTCGAAAAATTTAAGTAAGGTCGGTTTTGGTACGACGGAGAGAAGTATCGACCAGCGAAGGCAGAACACGCGAGGGAGCACTCCGTATGAGAGAGAGCGCTGATCTCTGCATCAATCGCGGTGGGTGGGGAGCGTTGCGATGGTTGAAACCTTAACGATTAGCACCCTAACTTGCGCATTTTCTGCGACGAAACTGGCACGATCACTATAGGTAAGGAGCCATCAATCCCCGTTGCAACGCTTCCCACCCACGCGATTGATGCGTGCTCTCTCGAACGGCGCTCTCTCGCGTGTTTTGTCTTCTTTGACCGCCCTGTCTCGCGTCGTACCACATCTGACCTTACTGAAGATTAAGGCCTTGATTTCAGCGTTTTCGATGATTGCTTGCTTTTCCGCAACTCAGCCATCACAACGAAGCTCTCTTATGCACCAGTTTTATCACAGAGCTCGCCATTAAAAACTTTCGCTTCAGGCCCTGTGCTCATCTTCGTACCACCTCGTAACTCGATCTCTATTCCCCATTCCGGCTTTCAGAGTTCCCCGTATGTTTCCACGATGTTTAAAATGCTGAACAGAAGACTTTAGTAGATCGTCTTTACTTGTAACAGGTCAGTCTTCATAAAGTAATTCGGCCGGTCTCAATTCACCGCTTTCCACAGGCGTATAGGTAGAGAAATAGAAGCTAGCCATATACAAAGAACAAATAAGGACAATCGATCACAGGAATGGCAACGATTAAAGTTGTCCCCTAATTGTTAGGCAATGAATGTAAGAGAAAAGAAGACACCTTTCGCCAGCTTCATGATCGGAAATGGCGACGACAGCTGCTTCAGCTACCCCAGGATGAGTGATTAAGAGTGCTTCCAATTCCGAGGGAATAACCTGTAAACAGAAAGTAAGAATGATATCTAAAGAGGGTATATAAGTGTGAAAAAATACATGAAATTTTTATGAAAGATCAAAAAAGAGAAGAAGAAGGAGTGAATGTTGCTCGATACTGATTTCCTTGTTCGGAGGGCTTGATTGATGTTTTCTAAAAATTTGAGACCGCTATACAGGGTATTCCATAAATACTGCGACACATTTTGAGCTTCAATTGTGTGGGTGTCTGTAGTCTTTTTCCCAAGGTTGGCATACCTTCACTTCCTATAACCTCTTGTGAATAACCTTGCCAAAGTGCACGGCTTACCATTCGTTGTACATCTCATGGTGCACCTAAACCTCAAAGAGGTCCTAATCCCTCATACAGCTAGGTCGGACATCCGGTGATCATCGCGCTTCTTTGGATTTTCAACCGCTCCGCGGCCTACCGTGTACTGAAGAGAAGACCAATGGAAGTAGTCTTTGTTGCGGCCGCCCCACAAGTTCTGACATCTTGGATCTCAGGAAAAGCATGAAGAAGCGAAACGACTGCAATACCCGGGTTGGCTCGAGAAAGGTGACCAGAACGCTGGAGTTTCTAAACACAGTAGAGAGTGGTCAGATAACAACTGCTCACAGTCCATTATAAGTTGCATAAGCACCACTGCTCAATCCAACGGGAGGAGCACAGCAGAGACAAAAAGTTCAAAGAGCTGGTGTCGAGGGCCGAAAATGGCGCGCGTTTTCATCGACGACAAAATTCCTCACATGGAGCGGAGCTACAATCTTCAAACTCCGAGGATGCCCGCATGAGGTCCCGTGGAAGCCAGTGAGAGTGAAAGGAATATTCGCCACAAGCAGCAGCCAATCTTTATCACGATTTGGGCAAGGGTCTCAATCACCGGTCGCTCATCAGTTAAAAGCGAATAAAACTCGACTGAGTGTTTCAGTGCACCTTCTGTTACTAGCTCTCCAATGAGGGATAACGTACGTTCCGAAGGAAACCAGCTTCTGCATAAGGGGCAAAAATTGTCTAGGACTGGTCTCATGATACTGTTCCCGATTTCACATCCTCAAACGAATGGCTCTCATATCTCTCGATTTCGACGT